CCTTCCTTCCTTCCTTCCTTCCTTCCTTCCTTCCTTCCTTCCTTCCCCCCTTTCTCTTTCTTGCTTTCACTTTCCAGAGAGGAAGAACAGAGGCAGATATAACAATTTATATAAATAAAAAGGAAAAGCTGCAGAATGGAAGGCTCTGCGAGGATGAATTAGTTATTACTACATTTTCAGAGAAAGGGATGGGGGGGGCAGTGGGCATTTTTGATCAGGGAAGAAATTAGCTCGCAAGGACACACAATAGAAGCTTAGCCTGTAAGGGAAGTGAGAGTTGGGGGGGTGGGATGGGGGCTTGGCTCTTGACAACACCTCTTTCTGTAAACTCTCTCTCTCTCTCTCTCTCTCTCTCTCTCTCTCTCTCTCTCTCTCTGTGTGTGTGTGTGTGTGTGTGTGTGTGGAGTGCCTTGCTTTTTCAATTACGGCCATTCATTTAGCAGAAGACTTGGCGTGATGGGGAAACACAACCTCCCTCTCAGCAAACCTCCTCCCCCAGCCAATATTAACTGTTGCATCCTTAAAAGAATATCCAGAGAGATCTGAGCCATTCTGACTTAGGGGTTGGTTGGTTTTTTTTTTTTTTTTTTGTGAGCAGGATCCTTCTGTTCCTGACTATTAATTAATCACCCTGAGAGGAGAGGGCGATGTTCGAAAAACGAAGAATGCATCTTGGCTTTCCCTACCCCACAGGAACAAACTGGGTTCATGCATTGAACAAAGCCAGGGTTTGTTTTGAGCAAGTGAGTTTAAAAAAAATTCTTAAAAGAAGCCAGGTTTTATTAAAAGAAGCCAGGTTTTATTAAAAGAAGCCAGGTTTCTCCCTGTTCTGCATGAGGCGCCTTTGCTGAATAAGTCATAGCCGGATAATGATGTGATGACTTGAGAGCAGGGGGAGAAAACTCACCCAACAAAGAAGGTGGGTATAGTAAGGGTTTCCCAGGGGAGAGGGGGAGGAGGGAGAGAGAGACAGAGAGAGGGAGGGAGATGGACACAGAGGGAGGGAGAGAGAGGGGGAGAAGGAGAGAGAGAGAGGGAGGGAGAGAGAGAGAGAATAGTTCT